AATGATGACAATAATTGATGATCGTTTGCATGATACCTAACATAAAACAATAAGTGAATAAAAAAAATAAAAATCAGTGGTTATTCGATTGCCGATGGCTTTATTGTTTCGAGCAAAAAAAAGAATTCGGGTATAATGKACAGAATATCAGAATCACTCGGCCGAAAGGTGGAGGTAACCTGTGCACGACTTTGTGGTATTGGTCATATAGCTGGTCGTCGCACACCGGAAACTTACAGTATTAACGACAAAACTCTATGGCGAGTAAATAAAAAAACTCAATCAAAAGAATCACGTTCGAATCCTACTCAATTTCGTCGCGATGGTTTTTAGATTTCTGGATGGACGGTTCGTAAAAAACTCAATATTGTATATATAAGATTTTGTGAAAAAATCCAAAACAAGACCGTGATCGAACATTGTATCGGTTGCAATAAATATWTATGTATATATCTTCTAAATGGACAATCAGATGATTTGTGAAGCGGAAACGACTTGACATTAAACGAACTCGATGGACTGCCGCACGTTTCGGTCCGACTAGGGTGAATGCACTTATTTCGCGCTATGTGAGTGCGTGAGTATATAATATGTATAATGTCATATAGGTACATAGATACGTAATATATCCGTTTTTCCTGTAATATGGTATATTATGATATATATTATACATAAATAGGTATACTCATGCAATCGCGTGGGGCCGTATAGAGTCCCATGTATGTACCGTGTTGATGGTGTACTTATTATAATATTATTACATACTACAATAGATACGACTTATTACTTAAGTTATAAGATGATATATTTTATTATTATGGTGACCTAGACGCATCCCTTATCTTCGCGCATGCGCAATAATTGACTAAGTTACAGTATATATAGAACACTGCAATGCAGCTAGTTTTTACTTCTTCATCGCATTAGCATGCTTTCGACCTAGAAGTAACAAAAAAATCGTCCCGCGAATATTGTAATAAATTATCGATGATTGTTTTCATTATCATAATATAAATTGTTAACCATAAAGTCTAATAATAAATAAATATATGGGTAGGTAGTTTAAAATATTTCATGATCGCATTTTAGACGTAATAAGGACGAAAAAAACTCAAATATTTGCGGAACGATTTTTAATTGGAAAACGCGTCTAATAATTTACTTATCATCCTGTGGCATATGTTTTTTTCCATCGCAGTTTTCAAGACTTTCACGCAAATCTCGTTTATAATAATATTATGATGTATCATTGATTAAAAGTCCTCAATTTCAAATCATGACCATGCGCTTGTATAAGTGACCTATTTTTATTTGGGTGACTCAATACAGGTGTCAGATTTAGTGTTTAATTATTATAATAATTCTATTACATGTCCGAAGAAAATTAAGAAAAAATAGATATTCACAGAAAGCACTTCAAAAAATGACACATATGAACGCTTTGTCATCCAGAACACCATAGTCAATTATTTATCTAAGCCGTTGCTTTTTTTTCTCAAATCGTTCGAACGCACATTTTTTTTTTTATGGAAAATACCGTTACGGGCTGTACCTACGTTTGGGTAAGTATACGACGTGTAATATTTGATATAGTTCACGATTTTGCTAGTAACGTAGTTGGCGGTTGTACAGAATATTTTTACATATTTTTTTTTCTCCGACAGAATCGACCGGATATTTGGAGTATATATATAACATAGGTGCCGTTTCTGTAATAAAAATCCGTGTCTAGTAGACGTTTTATATTATTATACAGCACACATTTTTTTTTTTTTAAATAATAAATTTTCAATATAATATTATAATATTATTTACGAATGCGTAAAAAAATTTTAATACGGTAGAATGATTGGCGTTATTGGGATATTTCGGTACAACGCGAATATGAAAAATCAAAACATGTCCCATGACAATTTGATTACCTATATAATTGATATTCTATCGACGGACGTCGGAAAACAGCAAAATATACAGTATATGATGGGTATGAGGACGGAGGAGAAAAATAATTTTTAAGGAGTTCGTATGGGCTTTATCGTTTGACCATAAAAGTAATAATAATATCGATGTTCACTAGGTATAAGAAACGGTTTCGATTACGAAACAATGTATAATATGATATAATTTATAAACAACGCAAACGATAATGAGCTTAACGGTTATCTAATGATATATATATTATATTGTTTACACGTCAGGTGCGCGTGTGCAATATTATTATAATATGGAGATTACGGCATCGGCACTGAAACGGGAAATAATTTCATCCGCATTTGTATATATAATAATATTGTAATGTTTGAACACGAATATATAGTCCGGCTTTCTCCGGGCAATGGTCATCGGTGCATCCTATATAATGATAATATTATATATACACAACTACGCGCGTTCAACTCACCCTGCATGTCCGTGCGTTAAGTTTTTACGTAACGTCCGACCATCGCCTTTTTATCCCGAACAAAGCACTCGACGTACGATAAACAGACTCGTATCACGGAAGAGGTATTATTATTTATTAATAGATATAGTCATTCGGCTATATTCAAACGRCTGACGTACATAATATTAAGGCCGACAGTCAAATGACTGAAATGGTATTCGACTTTATATAAACGAAAAGGCAACAATAGAGTTAATATAAATTAACAATAATGCTTCGATTTTATTATCCTCCAGGGAATAATATTATGAGACTTAATTTTAACTAACCAACTGAATTGTCAAATGGTATTATACCATTTGCCCTCCGTTATATAAAATACACTTTAATAATATATTACAAGGTACTTATTGCACACTGCAATTTACATAAATGATTTTTTAATTTAACTTACTTACCACATTAAATAATTTTTAAATTAAAAAAAAATCACACACACACACACACATCTTTGTAAAATCAATACATTCCTCGCTCCGCTCAGCTCGCTTTTTTTTTTGTATATACATCGGTGAATATAAGTTGGTCAACTTTATATTTTTCAGCTATAGTTTGTATTTTGACTATTAAGTATCGGCCAAATTGGTGTAGGAAACTCATAAACACCCGTATAATATTATATAAATATATTTAAAAACAATATATATTTTTACTGATGGCTTAGAGCACACATGTATTATATAAGTCACAAATATAAATTATTATTCAAGAGAATATMAAGTGAAATTTTATGGTTATTATGTTCAAATTATAAAAATGTATGTGCAGTATATTATAATATACATTATATTTAATTTTAAAATTTTAGACTAAAGAGGACGTTTCACCGACAGTTTTAAGCAACACGTTGAAGAAGATCGGCTGTTAAATGATTTTAGAGTAACAAAGAATATACTAGTTATGGGGGAAATAAAAAATGATAACATATTGAAAGAAACGTCCTGTAATGTTTTTTTTTTTTTTTAATATTACTTTAACAAATAATTGAAAATCGTTTCRAATAAAATATCAAGAAATACTTTCTATACGCAGTGCAAAAGATGTCTTATAAAATGGTATTATTTGTTACCTTTTTTATTTCTAATGAGTGTTTTAAATTTAAATTTTTACTATAAAATCAATAATAGCCGGTTTTTTTTTCAACACCAGAAAATAAAGTAATAAATTATTACTTCATGTTTATTATTACTAATAATAAACATGAATTTCTTATAAAATGTCGTAATCTYGCAATTTGCTTAAAGTTATTTTGAAAATTGGCATTTGAATATTGTTGTATAGATTTAAATCAAAATTGTATATTCTAAAAAATAACCACTATAATAACGCCAGTGAGACGTCCACTCAAATATTCTATGACTAGGAAAAAAATTGACTTATACCTTGTTTATATGTGTACCTACACTAATCTAATACATACATTATAAATATTTACATCACACATCTACATAATATTTATACGGTTATACATGTTTGATTTAGGCATAAATCACATATTATTTTTTTATGCGTAGGTATATTAGAGTATGTTAATATGTATATAATATATTTTATTATATAATACGTACGTCCATGTATACGAACGGGCTGGACCGTTATTTCCGTTCGATACTGGAAGTTTCGTATTATATCTCATATATACACGTGAAACAATAGAACTCGCACGAAATAATAATAAGATAACATTATATTATAATACGATAATAATAATATAGTGTCGTGATTTTCCGTTTCGCCGTCATTCGGCAGCGGTGGCCTGTTTTGGCGCGATTCGCTCAATGTCACCCAAACCGAAACGGTTTTTACATAATATTATACACAATAATTATTTGTGATAATGATAACGACAATTTTATTTTTTATACAATATATTATATTTATTACAACGATTAATAACGATCAATCGGTCCGGCTCTAATATAATGGGACGGGAGAAGGGCTATTTTGAAGTGCTGAATGTACCTATATAGGTACTGCAGACATTGGTCAATGCACTTATATTGACTACTTATAAATAATATTATATAGATTCATAGTCGAGTTTGCAGTTCGACTTCCCCTCCACGCCACCCGGTCGGTTAGATAAGTGGTGCATCCGTTCCGGAGTAATTACTCACGGAGTCTTATTATACAGATCGACCGTACACAATTTCGGGCGTGAACAATGAAGCAAATAATAAATGTACATATATATATATATAATACATACAGTGTGTAAGACAAGAGAATGAAAAATAAAAAAAAACCCTCTCCGATTTATCGCAAAACTATATACCTACTATTTTACCACGTCCGGAATTGGGAGCGCGTGGGACGAGAAAAACTCGAGCACTTACAGGCGAATGACACATCTTAAAACGTTCACATTGATATCTACATAATATCATTGTTGTATGATGGTTATTGCAGCAATAAAATCGTAAGACTTTTTATCTTTTTACCAACTTTGCGTCAGACGAGGCGGTGGAGAATAATATAAAATATAAAGCGGGACGACGTCGTATACGATATAGGTATTATATGGGGGGAGGGGAAATTACCGCAGAGGTGTACTCACTTCGAAAATATCATTGTATGGCTGCGTCGGGCCGCGGTTCTGTGGTTACGACCGGAGCTGTTGATGCTGCTACTGTAGGATCGTCGACGACCCCACGTAGAAGGGCGACCTGGTTGCGATAACGAGTTCCGTTTGTAGGTCAGCGTCTGATTACGCAAGTGTAATACGACAATATAGGGGTAGGTAATGTCGTATTGCTCGTGGCACGGACTACACGCGGAAACGCTGCAGCGGGCCGCCTGTTGCGCGTGTTCTCGGCGATCGCGGTCGCGGGTGTGTACGGTATCGCGAAATACGCGGTGCGACAAGTCGGGCCGTAGTTGTCGGATCGTTTGTCGCGTCTGACCGAAACCGTGTCGACTTGTGCAGTGGACGTCAGCTCGATGGGTACGACAACGGCAGCTCTCTTCTGCAGCGCGGACAGAGACGTCGGTGAGGTTTCGATGGCGCCGGTGGACTGGACGTCGTGTGGCGTGCGATCCTCGTCTTCGTCGGCGGGCGTCTTGTCTTTTAGACGCGTTTCTGGTGGTGGCCGGCGCAGATCATTATTTGGCGGGCGGCCGCGTACGGTTTTTCCCACCAGTTTTTTTTTCGCCCGCCGATTTCGGCCAATAAGCGCGGGGGACGAGTCGAGTTTTCCGAGGCGAGAGATGTCTTAGTGGGGACGGCGGCGGCGGCGGCGCGCGGCAGCAGCGGTGATCGCCGTTTTAGTTTTTTGTCTTTTACTCGTTGCAGTTATAATACGCCTCTCTTTCTTTTCCACTATTTTTCCCATTATAATGTGCCGGAGTTTTCGCGCGCGTCGTTTCAACGCATCGCCGAACCCGACCCCCTTCACCGTCATGCCGCTCGCCGCGCACACGAGCGCCGCACGCCGCGCGCCGCCATCGGTGCTGCAGAAGAGCGGCGGCGGCGGCGGTGGCGACTAGACGACGATGTAAAATAAAAAATAAAAAAAAAAACGTAATAATAATTTCGTCGCGGCCTAGGCATATAACGTAATATTATTGTATCGTATGTATATGCCTATATTTTTATACTTCTGCAGTGCGTGTGTGTGCTGGTATAGCGGACACGCAGGACGTGCAGCGACGACGACGACGACCTCGGAGTTCAATCGCCCCGGTAGTCATATACAGACGGAGACCACTCAATTATAATACTTATATGATACATATTATGATAATATTTTAATATACTCGTATTAATCGATATCGACTTGTTTATTAACGCACGTATGCTGGTCGTAAAATGATCGCCAAATTTCACCTCGCCACTACCCCCATATTACCACCACGCGTTCGTTTACCACCTCCGTGGCAGAGAATTTCACGCAAATGTCTGTGGTATCGACGACGGGTGGGCTCATATCTTTTGAAAATGTTTTATTGTAGTTAGTGTACCTAGATAGCTGAAATTATTAGAAGCGACTGAAGGCCCACACACAATTAACAAGAAAAAAACAAATRTTTTGGAATATGGATCTCTACAACCCCCGGTTCTCAGACACTACGTGTCTTTACTGTACTGTAAAACATCAATATCGAAAATCATTATTAAGAAAATATCTCCATACCGTATAGACTATACCTACGTATAACATATAAACATAATTACCTATAATATTGATGGTTGATTTGGGAGACTTCGACGTCCATCAAGGCTCTAGAACGAATTAATATTTTACGTATGAATAAAAATTTTAAAGTCTAAAAAAATGAAATGTATGAGGTAATCTTATTTAAAACAATGTAAGCACGGTGGTTGTAGAAGCTCTAATAAGTTTCGTTGAAATAAAGAAAGATTATACAGTATCCTATAAGTCATTGAAAAATTTTATGAAGAAAAATATAATAGCAACCCAAACAAAAGATGAATGACTATTTGTCTAATAGATCAAAAGAAACTGATTTGGTATTCGAACACGAAGTAAACATGGTTATAACTTATAATATGCATGAAACATATTTTATCTGAAATGCTTTTTTATATACTTGCAATATTACTCTTGATTGTAATATTTTAATTTATGTTTTTAGTTATGTATTAAAATAAATATAAAAATTAATAGACTATGGAATATTGAAAAACAATGAATAATATTTTTAACCATTTTTACTTCATATATAGAAAGATTAAATTAAATTAATATAATTTTTAACATAAAATTATATGTTTATATCAGTTATGGTGTAGATGGTGACTACAATTTTATTTTATTAAGTGGTATGTGGTCACTGTAGGTTTATTGAATAGATAATTTATATGTATGGCRTGCTGAGCCTACTAATATTTATTACCTATAAAGGTACCTATAACAGTCATTCTACTTGGCCAGTAGCTTATAGGATGATTATTATGTAGATGATTTATGATGTTACTCGTGTTTGCTCTTGTAAATTTATCTTATAAACATTTTCACTCAAACCTATCCAACCACCGTAATCATTTTGCATCAAACTGACCTGTTCTTAATATCCCTGGTGATTCCAGTAGATGTTTGATACGCAAATGATTCCAGGACCTACTAAACAATTCAATTATTAACTGYCAAGAAGTTCCATCAAGTCTCCAACCAAACAACTCCCCCGTCACTTGTTCTTATTACAAAAAACATATTTATAGATTGCATAACTAAATATTGTAACAAAATTATTTTGTTAGATATTACTCTTTCGTATAATAGAACATTTTAAATTTTTACTTCATTCAATGCCGATTACGTGCACGTAATATAATATTTAGATTTTCAGAAATTTTCCTCATATATTTTTATATCTTTCAAACGAAAAAATGTTTCAACATTTAACTACCCTAAACAATATTACTCTGCAGGCTCTTTTATTAAAAAWGGATATTTTGTAAGTTCTTTATAAAATGTCTCATATACGWGGAATATGCCTACGACAAACTTTTCTGATCATTATCAAYTTCAATAGCAAGYACAAGCACTTAGCCGCAAGCAATATAACTGTTGAAAAATCCCTACTCTCATACCTAACCATATTAATTTCAACCATGACAATAAAGCATCTAAAATTCCAACTGGTAAGACCTTATGTAAAGTACTTCTGATAAAAAAAATAAAATAAAAATATAAGGCGATGAATTTAAACCACAAAGAAAAACAACAAAAATAAATAATAATTCACAGTAAACCACTTTTTTCTCTACMAAAAACGGAAAGCTCCAGTAGAAAATTAAAATTAAGATAAAATCTCACTTCCCATATCATAGACCCAATAGATTTCTCAGATTAAATAAAACCTTTGAAAAATACCACAATTAAATTGTTTGTACTAAACATATACGATTGATTAAAATTTATCTTTGAAATAAAACAAGTATAAGAAATTTCTTCTTCACCACAGAAAAAACAGATAAAAAAAATATATGTTAAAACCATCTATGGTTTTAGTGATCTAAGAAAATATTTAGAAATTAACAAATTTAAATGTTTCACATTTAGATAGATTAAAAGATATTTTGAAAGCTGTTTTCRACATTTCCTAATACCCTCAATAGAATATGAGTTTATGAAAGAACCCAAACAATCAAAATGCTGAATAAAATCAACCACAAGATGAACAACTAAAAGTATAATATGTTATATAGATRTAAATGGATATCCCAAATAAAAAAACTTAAAATTTACAATAGCAGAAAAAGGCATTTTCGGAAAATGGAAACATCACATTTGGAGAAAACCGGTCATGTCCATATGGAAACAGGTGACTAAGAGGTGTCATTCGTAGTACTGTAGCAGTAAAAATAATTAAAATGTAATTTTATAAGATGATATCAGAATTAAATTCATTTATTTGTTRTGTAATTTTCTGTACCAAAAATATATCTTAAAATTGTTTTCTTATTACCTTACCTACCTACCCTCTTAATTCTTTACGGATGCGATCACGAGCCGCGTCGTTCAAGTTCGTACTTTCTCTAGTTTTGAAAAATAATATTTCGTTATGTTAAGATGGACTCATTAATGTTGCTATCTTGATTAAGTGAAGGTTGGCAGAATAAAAAAAATATTATTTTAACTCGACCGTGAGAGAATCCTACTTAGATTGTCTTTGAGTTCTTCCTCTGAGTTTTGACAAACACTGGTGTTTAAAARAGCGTTATGAACCACACTTGACCAATAGGAAGTAAGGAGAAAAAAGGTCAACAGAACAAATAAAAAAAATGTTTAATAGCCAACCAAATATAATTTATAAATCATAACATACAAAACAACTAAAAATAATATTTTGTATTATAAAAGAATCATCAACAAGTTCAATAACTTYAAAATTAATTAAAATTATTTATTATTACTCACATTGTAAGTAATTAATAAATACGYTTTACATTGTTAATCAACTTGTTCGCACATTAATTTATATAATATTATGATACTAAAACAATAATGATGACAACTACTGAAGTTATATATTTCATAGGAGAATCATTTTTTGTTATTTATTTTTCGAAATTATGACACGGCTACAATATTCAATCGATGAAACTTAATGMAATTTTGARCTGACTACCCCAGATGTGTTTTCCAAAGTTAATATACCTTCCATTATAAAACCAATATCTAATAATTTTGTTTCACTAAAATCTCATTACAAAATATATAGGTATTATGTTAATTAGTATAGTTTTAAAATGTTTATGATGAACACTTTGTAAAATACATTTTCTTTACGATGAACTTACTATAAAGTGTAGGCTTTRAGTTTGAGAAAATAAAATTATTTCATTAAACTTTTAAACATATTTTAAGAAAACAAACTTCAAAGCTTAAGATATAATAGGTCTGATAAAATTATCCACCTGATACATTTTTAAAATTTAAACAGAACTCTGTGTAGTTGGTTAATAATATTGTAATTATAATTTACTATTTGTTATAGCAATACACCTTATTTAGTAATATTTTTTTCAAATCGAATTAAACATACATTATAGTGATTWCTAATTTTCTGATAATTACTGATAGTTGATACCTACATATCAATCAATTGTACGTATTATGACGCACAAACATGTGTTCAAATCGATCGATGCTCTATTYATTTCACTAAAGACACGAATGACTTCACTAAATAATGATCATGACATCATATGACAGATTATCGATTTCGAACCTTTCATAAAGAGTAARCTTTYAAAAGTTGAATAAAATTGAATTAACGCAATTTGTTGTAACATCAGTGAAACTTAAACGAGGAAAATAGGTCATAGACACTATTAATTAAATATACTCCATAAATTATACTTAATACGATAGMTTTTGAGGATAATTGCACTGTGCACACAGCACAAATTACAGTAAACTATGGTTAATCATTTAATTGGATTTATAAAATAAATAATCAAACCATGTGGCATGCATACAATATGTGGGTTGGGTATATTAAAGATTAATTTAATTAATTAATTTCGTAAATGCATTCAGTATTCTAAGTACCCGTCTAATATATACTCATCTA